TCCCAGCTGGGGATCACGTTATGTCCTGCAGTATGAAGCCTCTGAGCCATTCCAGTTTCTGCATTAACTAGTGTACCTGTGCAGCATACGTAAGTGACTCATCATTGGGAGGATAAAGTCACATGGCTACGCGGCCCAGGCACCTGAAAGGCTTGTAGAGTTTGTGGGTTTTAAATCAATCGACTGATCTTCAGCCCTAGCCATTAGTTGGGTGACTGCCAGGTGGGTCTGCAGAAGGAGAGCGATCGCGTCATGGATCAGTTTGGGGAGGCGTTCCATGCGGAGAGCATGGTGCGGAAGAAAGCATAGCCACCCTTGAGATGCCTGGACAGACTGGCAGTGGGGCTAGTACGACAGGAGACGCAGGCAGAGCTGATCAGGAACATGCAGGTGAGGACAAGGAGCTGTCACATGACACAGTAGATGAGGAACAGGGGCTGGAAAAGTTGGGCTTTGCTGTGCCAATCAGCAGTAAACCCTTCAACGAACAAGTGCACTGGCTCCTGTAGCAGGCTGTGCTGGCCCTGCTGAGCTCTTTGAGGAAGGTTTAAGCTTTGTGGCCTTTGCCTGGAGAGAAATGGCAAAGGCCCTGCTTCGCTCTGTACGAGCTGGGGGGGGGGCGGATCAGGTACAGGGAAAAGAGTCCCTGGGTTTGGGTCGGCTGGACAACTCCTGATGTGAATAGCAAGTGCTAACTCTCAGGGCTACCGTGCTGCACTAGATAAACTGAAATACACCAACTGCCAAAGGCCCTGGGCATCTCAGCAGCAGGCTAGAGGTCACTTGTCACTTGTTTTGGTCACTGGGCCCCGAGAGCAGCCAGCTAGAGGTAACACTTGGGGCTAATGCAGTGGCCCTTTAGCTCTTGCTAAGGCACTTAGCTATGGACGCACAGTTCAGTTGCAGCATCCAACTTTCACAGGAGTGTGTCTGTGTGTGAGAGATCCCAGTGCAGATGGATTAACTAAACCCAAAGAGTGAGGGATTTACAAAGGTAAGAGTCTCTGAACTGGGGTTAGAACAAGAGCCTCTTGGTTTGCAGCCCCCTCTTCTGAGCTCACAGGACTCTGTACTTGAGGGGCTCGTGCTTGGAACCTGCTGAATACTTTCAAAGAACTGAGATTGGGGCGCTGGAGGGCGTTTGTTCAGTTTGACAGTGTCAGCTTGTGGCATCCTGCTGGGTTCTTAGCAGGCATTGCTGCAGAGAGGGGATAAGGGGTTGGCCCTATAAACCCCTACCTACAGCACCACCTGCAAATCCACCACTACATGTCTCAGGAGAGTTGTCACTTGTCTTGTCCTGCTGTAGCTTTCACACTGCACAGCGGCAGCATAGAAGGTAAGGCCCTGTGCTTCCTACTCATCTGGGTTTGGGGGGCATCTTGCTGCCTCAGCGTGCTCCCTGTTCACCACCTGCTGGGTGAGCCCCTCTGAATCGGAGGTCCCATTTGAAACAACACTGAACATTTTCAGCATTGAGAAAAGTCTCTTTGTTCCCAAAGCTTTTATTAAATAAGCTGCATCCTTATTTGTGTTGCGGTAGCACCCAAAGACCACCGGGAGCTGTACGTAGTGCGAGTCCATGCCTGAAGAGCGCTTAATCTAGTAAAGCACCCAGGCCACTCTAGTCTCTTTCCCACTCTTATTTCGCCTCACCATCTTTTTCTATTTCCCCACAATTCGCAGACGCTGCTGGACATATTTACAGGGGTGAAGCTGTACCTACCGCCCTCCGTGGAGGACTTCAGCAAAATCCGCCGGTACTTTGTGGCGTACGATGGAGACCTTGTGCAAGAGTTCGACACTGCCTCAGCAACACACGTGATAGGGGATGTTGATGAGAACCCTGGAGCCAAACGCGTCTCTCCTGACTGGATCTGGGAGTGTATCCGGAAACGGAGGCTAGTGGCCCCCTGTTAAAAACTCAAGGCAGCTGCCTGGCCCAACACTGCTGTGCTCTAGGAAGGAACTCCTTAAGGGAACAGCAGCGACTAGGCAGGTGGAAGAGAGGCTGAGATCTGTCAAATGCCTGGAGTTCCTCATGGCTGGGTTCTAAGGACCCATAGCAACCACTTTGATTTTGATCAGTGCCAGCTGGAATGAATTCAGAGATCTCACTAAAAGATGGCACCATTGGAATCCGTTCTCTTTCTGTCCATCATTTGAACCCATCTGATCGATCTAGGTGCTGATTTCATCTGTTTTGTTTTAAAGTTTGGGTATTTTTATAAATAAAAACTACACAATGTCTTCTCCTTTCCGGTAAGGACAGAGATTCTTCTCAGGCTGTTCTGTATCTGAACAGAAGACAAACCCTGGCAGTGTGTATAACTTCCTATAGACGTATGACCAGTATGAACTTGCTGCACTACTATAATTCAAACAAAGGAAGGCTAGTCTAAACTCTCTGCCATTTATACTGCTTGGTATTTTCTCCTCGGGTTTATTTTAAGACTGTTGCTGGCTAACCTGTTTTAACAATCAAAGCTATAGGTCAGCATCCAGAAACAGTTTAGACAGTGTTTCATTTTAAAACCGGGCCAAATAAACTTCCGTTACGGGTTTGTGTCACCAAGATATTCTTTTGTCACAACCAGGCTGCTGGAGTCAAAGGTTAGTGAAGAGCTAATTCTGCGCATTGTCTCCTGGAATTCATCGATTATAAAGCCAGAAGGGACCACTATGACCATATAACAGAGCATAGGATTTCCCTGAATTAATGTGTTTTAGAAAAAAATATTTAGTCTTAAAGGGGCCAGCCGTGGAGAATCCACCACAGCCTTGGGTAAGTTGTTCCAATGGTTAATTACCCTCACTGTAAACATTTGTGCCTCATTTCCAGTCTGAATGTGTCTAACCTCAATTTCCAGGGCCTGGAATCTTGCTCTACTTTGGTTTGCTAGATTGAAGAGCCCCATCTCAAGTCTTTGGTTTCTCATGTAGGTACTTAGAGATTGTGATCAAATCATCCCTTAAAGAGATGATTCTGCTAAACAGACTCCAGGATCCCCATCAAGAGCCAGAATATTTTCCAATCTTTTCCCATTCTCATGGCTCTTCTCTGAACCCCCTCGAGTTTTTCAACCTCCTTGAAGTGTGGACACCAGACTATTCCGGTAGTAGTCGGTCACATCAGTGCCATGTAGAGGTAATCTAATCTCTTGGCTGCTGTTCAAATTTCAAGGAGTTATTTGCAGGTTTTGCCATCTCAATATACTGCAGACTATTCCATGACACTAAACTTTATGAATAGACAACTCATGTATGGCCCGGGGGTGGGACTCGGATAGAAAATAGGGTTGCAGAGAAATAGATGGCTATTTAATGGGGGGTTGATAACTTTGAAAGTAAAAAATCATGGATTTTGGAGTCCAAGTGCTTTATTAGAAAGTTGCTGCAATACTGTTGTGATAGTTCTAGAGTGTTACAAGCAAGGCTGGCTCAGACCAGCCAAACCTGTAGCTGCTGGGTCAGGTTAAAGTGATAGCATGATGCTCATGCTCTCAGTTCCATTGTGTGTGAAATAGCAAATGTATAGTCTCCCCTGCCCCACCTTGGATAACATGAAGCCTCTATGCTCTCCCCTCAACCTCTAGCACCTGTAATGCAGAGCAGTGAAGGCACCATGTGGTTTCTCCATCCTGTATAGCAGGGTCATGAGGCCTTTAGCCCAGGGAAGGCCATTCAGCATCCAAGGTTTGGACTGGACTGTTTCACACTCATGGCAGCACTTACAATTTTTCTTATAGTGCCTTATTTATTTGTTTCACTGAAGATTTTCCTAGGCCTATTATAAAGAAAATGGTGGAAGCATGTAGATGTGGTGGGATGCTCGCCCCACCTTGCTCATTTTGTAATAACTTGCTTCTCAAGGCATTGCCTCTAACTTAAGGACTTTTCCATTCTAGCATAAACTGGAGAGCTCTGGCTTGCTGGTGTCTAGGAACGTTACTCTAATCCACACGTGGATTTTTTGTTTACCTCAAGTGAGGCAGTGTTCAGAGTTTTGTCTGAAGTATAGTTCCATTGTATGTGGACTAACCACCCTGCCTCTCAAAAGGTCATCTTAGAGATGGTCTAATGTAGTGGTTCTCAAACTTTTGTACTGGGGCCCCCCTTTCACACAGCAAGCCTCTGAGTGCAACCCCCCCCCCCATCAATTAACACTTTTATATATTTAACACCATTATAAATGCTGGAGGCAAAGTGGGCTGCAGGGGTGGAAGCTGACTACTCATAACCCCCCATGTAATAACCTTGTTACCTTCAGGGGTCCTGACCCCTAATTTAAGAAGCCCTGATCTACTGGATCTCATTGTCAGGTGTGATGAGCATGTGCCACTCAGCTTTAGGGTACATAAAGCAATTTGATAAACTTAGGCCAAGACACGTTAACCTTGCTCGGAAATTCTAAGGAAACACACCAGTTTCTTCCTGTTCTAACAGGCTTCTTGGAATCAATTTAATAAGCCACTCAAAATGACTTCAGACATTTGTTGGTGAGGCCTATTGATGTATATTTTTATTTGAATTTCCTTACTCGCTTTAGGACGTAGGTGGACTTTGCATGTTGGTTATAAATTGCTTTGCAGCTGTTGTGGTGGCTCTTGTCAATATTTACACACACCTGCATCAACTGTGTAATATGAAAATGGCAAAAGGCTGATCACCCTCAAGTCCTATTGACGGTGACTACTTCGCTATAAAGGTTAAGAATTCTACTGTTGAGAGTTGAGCTTGCTCCATCTTTTCTTCCTCAGACTTTTGAGGAAGAATAGCTTCAGGTTGGGTATAGGGAACAGGAGCTTGGTGATGAATTTACATTATATTCAAGTTTTTATACTACACAGCATCGTGGTATTTTGTTTCATGCTTATCCTTATCTTTTAAACTTCAAAAGCATCAGTAAATCAAACATCTCTGCCCATCCCTATGCTGCTCCCAAAAAGAGAGAAACTCAGAAAACTGAACTAGTTGGATAAATCAAATTTTCACTTTATTATAAAATTATAAAGCAGAACTCTGTACCAAAACTAGTTGTTTAACTATCAACTAGGATTTAATAGAAGCCATTTCAAGTAGAACATTAACTTTCAAAACATTTGAACAAAAGGTGTACAATGTACATAAAGCACTTGGATATTTTCATACATTTTAGTTCAGATCAGTATATTCCTTTGGATTATGAACCAGTTTCCTGGAGCTCTCTTAAAGTTTCACTTTAAAATAAATTCTGTCACCCGCACAGCAAAAAATCAATTTTTGCAATGGGAAAAGGAAGGCAAACTGCAAGGGGGGGGCGCTGTGTACATCTTGTTCTTAAAAATCATCCTTGCAGAGACTGATCTGCAGTGGGGCCTTTCTGCTGTAGAATAGTGGCAGAAGAACCTTAAATTTGCTTACTAAATAGGGAAAGTGTCTTCCCCTATCCTACAGTTATTGCTGAACATGGATTACTGTATATGCATTATTTTTCACAGTGAATATGCTAGATTGGGGTTGGTAAGTTTAGCCCATAGGTAGAGACTGATGTAAACAACCTCTTCCCATTCATGATTGAACAGCTCAATAGCAATTACTTAAATACTTTTCCCATGTAACTGAATACAATTTAGCTGCTGGCACAATGAGTGTGTCAGTACCCCTCTGTTTAAGAAAGGCTATGCGAGGCCTTGAGCCAGAGATTATAAAACATGTCAATGTCCAGAAGTAGCAGCTCTCTTAACATGAAATGAAGAGAAACACAGAAAGAAGGGGCAGGGACATGGATCCGCGGGGCAAGGCTAGGCTCCTGTCCTTCCTCTACAGGAATCACCACCAATAAAAGTAAAGGCCCTCTCTACTGTACAGGTGCTGCAGATCACCATGCAGAGGTAAAGCTTCCTTTAAATATCTATACGTGAATGATACTTTATCAGCTACCAGGACTGGTTTACTCTCTTCCGTAAGAAAGACCCCCTCACACGCACCATGCATTTCTTGCAGCAGAGGCATTAACTACTGTCGTACAGCACTGTTAAATAGTTGCAAAGATTACATACATTTGCAGTTACTTAAGATTACCAGCTGTTACCACAAGTGTGCATAGATACATCAATAGAGGCTGCTTCTTTACATACATATCTAGTGCGGCAGAGCTTAGGAATGTCCACTCTTATTAGAGTAGACAAATAGAAATTGTTGTCTATAGCTGCTGCGCCTGGCCCAATACCATACCATGTATGCACACACACATTCATTCTGAATACCCATGCACGTACTATAATAATGTAAGAAGAACTCATGTAAGGCTTACAGCTATCTGTGAAAAACAATCTGAAGCAAATGTTAAGCCTTAAATGGCTCCAGTAGCCTTTTGGGATAAGATAAGACACTAGTGTAACCATAATTTAGCTGAAAAAAGTCTTAGTTAAGGCATAATAGGATGATTTTGAAATTGATTATTTTTCTGGCAGTTCAGAATGGAGTATTTCCAGGATACTGTGTAAGATCACTTTTTTTAATACTCCATAGAGGGGAAAAAACAATGCAATAGCTCCACTGAGACTTTCTAAACCACAGATGTCATGAACAGCTTGTGATTGATGTCCCCTGTCTACCTTGTAGAATTCTTTAAGGGTGAATCTATAGCCTCATCCCCATAAAAGGAAAATGGAGAAGTTATCTTGTGCTCTTCGGCAAACAGTCTTTGCATATTTGGCAACACATCAGGACTGTGGAACGGTGAATTGGTAAACAGGCGGAAAAAGGAAGGCTGGGGACTGATCATCACGATCTTCCTCAAATCATAAGACAAATCAGCAGACAGCAAGAAATGAGACTGAAAATACACAACCCAGCTGTAGAGATTCACAGTGGAAAAAGTCATCCTACACTTTCCTCCAAACTTCACAGTCTCTCTCTCTTTTTGACAGCTTCATCTCTAGGCCTTAGGAGGTCATTATAAGAATACACCACTCAGGGCTTCACAATTGAAATGTCTCACCACTCCTTTTTAGGAGTGTAGGCAGCCCTAGACCAAAAATCACACTACTACGGCCATAGTGTTTTTCCCACTAGCGTTCAAGCAAAGCAATGCATTGTAAGGGACTAGTGCCTCAGGGTCCCAATGTGTTAGTCACTGGAGGAGGTTGACTCTACAGCCAGTTCAGTTCTACAGGGATTGCTTGCAGACCCGGCAGGCAACACACCATCCTGTGGTGTTATAACAAAGAATAACCCAAGGAACGGCAAATTGTAGGAGGGAGGGAGATAAACACTGCCTATGCTGGGTAAGCGTCAAGCGGAGGCTCTATGTCCTAAGCCACTTCACTGCCTCTTATCTTTCAAAGGGAAAGAATGTATCTTTAACAGTATGAAGTCCTGCTTCCTTTTCATATTAATGTGTAGCAATAGTGAATGTTTCACCATAACCTTACAGGGCTAGGCTTAGAAATTAATTCTGACTATGAAAAAGCTAAAGGCAACAGAGAGGAGAAAAGTTCAGCCTGGCCTGCAAGCATAAGGAACTAGAGATAAAAATAAAGTTACACATTCCAAAAAAAAAAAAAAAAGGCGTAGGGAGAGGGAACCAGCCCAATAAGATTTTGTTCCCTGAAAATAAAAATATCAGTGGAGGTGTGGCCTGGAACAGAGCAAGTTAAAGAGGGAACCAGAAGGGGAGAATTCAGTAGCAGCAAAACAAAAGAAAATGTCATGTGCCAAAACCGCAGTCCACCTTATTTATTATTGTGGAGGAAATACACCTCAGAATCTGGTGTTAGTTTTGGAAAGCCGAGTGATTATTTGCCCCCCATCAGCAGTTGATCAAGCTGGCCCGGAATGCAAGCTGTTAATTATTTCTGTGTCTGCTGCTGACAGCGGGCTCCCGGAGTCTAGGCACTGCAGGGTGAAGCACTGTGGTGTGAAGGGCACAGCCAGTCAATGGCTTCAATCAGAACAATTCCCCAAGCTTTCTCCTTTCCTCATCTCGCCTATGAACTTTGGGTTTCTTGTGAGGTCCTACGTGCCCGTTTCTGACCTACCTGTAGAGATTCTGACCATCTCTAACAGCAGATGAGGCTTTAAGGCAACACTGGTCTTCCTCCAGCTCCCTCAGGACTTAAATACATGGACAGCTCTGATCACATACTGCCTGCATATGGGACACTCACTCATACGCTTTCCACACTTGGTGCAGGTGACCATGTGGCCACATTCTAACAGGACGCAATCAATTGGTGAGTCCATGCAGATTTTGCAGAGATTCTCTTCAGTGCGAGGGAGCCCAGCACTGCCTGAGGAAACTGAAGACAAAAAGGGGTTTACGTATTAGATTTAAGGAAACGACATCATGGCGTTAGGACAGGATGTTCGGTGTTATCCAATACACATATATTAATAGTGGCTTCAGTGTCAAATCATATATAATTATGTGAGACTAAAGTTGAGAAGCCCCATCTTTTCACAACTGGAGACTTGTAAACAGTCCTGCTCCTGCATTGATACCAATGTGGGACTATTTACCTGATCATCTGGGAAGGAGGAGCTGAAAATTTGTGCCTAAAACAAACTCTCCCCTATCTGAGCGCACAACAGCAACAACTAGTCCTGAGAATCTTTGTGGTGAGATAGTTGAGCAAACTAATTACTTACCATTTTGATCATCCGTGTCAGCAACTGCAATATAAAAAGAGAGGAGAAAAGCTACATTACACCTCTACCTCGATATAACGCGACCCGATATAACACGAATTTGGATATAACACGGTAAAGCCGCGCTCCAGGGGGGGGCGGGGCTGCGCACTCCTGCGGATCAAAGCAAGTTCAATATAACATGATTTCACCTATAATACGGTAAGATTTTTTGGCTCCCGAAGACAGCGTTATATCGAGGTAGAGGTGTATGTAGGAGGACTATGGGTAGGCTAGTAGATTGTCTACTTAAAGTACAGTTAATTTAAGACCTTACAAAGCAAAATGACTATCTTAAATTATTTCTGTATTTTCTAAAAAGACATCAATTGAACTCCAATTTTGTGATTTTATACAATTTCTCTAAACGTTTTTCTCACTATATTCTGGTACGAAAGATCCCCCACAGGAGGCAAAATGAGTGACTATATGCAAAGTGCTTGTCTAAAGCACAAAGTAAACAAAATGCAGGGGGAAAAAATCTTCTGGTCTTTTAGTTATAATCTTACTGTAATGATAGTAGGTGGCAAAATTCAGAGAGGTTTGATTTAAGTTGATATTCCCCTGTAAGTGATGATCAAAAATAAATACAGCTCTAAACCTGAAAATTAAAAATTCTGTTCTTAAAATGATTCTCAACAATTGGCATAATGGGTTTCCATGTTTATCTCCTCTCAGATTCCATAACAAATAGAAAAAACATGTATTTACTTGTAAACTGAGGCTAACTACTAGCCCTGAAACTCAACCTGAGTTCTGAGAGTTAAAATGCAAGTCACCACCAGGAACAAATGATCTGCAGAGCTATCAAAGCCCTCAGTGACACCTGTATAACTCAGCTATCTTCCAATTGCCCCTCAGTAATAACCCGTGCAGACTTGCTGGCCACAGGTAGGCATGGATGCATCTTGTTGGAACGTAACAGTTCTGGTGATGATGCACAAGAATTAGGTGGTAGCTCAACCTTCCACAGCTATGTTGGCTCTGGCGGGGGCTAACAAGCAGGAAGAACACATTTTGTCACTAGAGTCAACCACTCTCACTACACAACGAAGCAGTCGCTTTCCTGAATTGAACCACACTAACAAAGCTCTTATGTGGGTAAACACATGCAGGGGTAAACCATCAGCTTGGCAGGCATATTTAGATCATCGGTAAATATGGGTAAACAGAGGTTTCACGGTACAAACAAACTGATGAAAAAATATTTCCATCAATAAGCAAAATGTACACCGAAGCAAAGTAAGATAGTGCTGCTTTAGAACTTAAGAGTTTGATTTAAGGATATTTACTTCGTATCTTTTGGCATGTGAGGTCGATAATTTGTGTTACCTCACCCACCTTGTCTCTCTAAGCCTAACCATAGTTTACCAGCATTGACTCTGACGTGCTCTTGCCTTGTTTATTTAGTCCTTGATGCCTCCTGTCTGTTCCAACTCTCACTTGCAAAGGGTAGAGGCAGAAACTTTTGGAGGAGCCATTCGAGAAGAGTGAAGGAAGGAAGAATCAGAAGAGAAAGGAGACCATAGCCCCTTCTCCCTTTGACTTGTTGCTTGCTACCGTTGATGCCAAAGCGGAGAGTTGAGAAAGACAGTTAGCCTGGCAAATGGATATAGTTTCTCCACCTTACCCAGATGCTGAAGGTCTTTCTCTTTATAAAGACGGGTCACCCTCTCCATCAGCTCCCACTTCTCACAGCAGCCTTTATAGTTGACAAAGTTGCGAGCCAGGATTTCCTTCAGCTGTCGCACCGAGAGCGCATCAATGTCTCCAACACTCGTGAGGTCAGAAAGAGAGGCCCTCCGCCCCTGTACCAGGTTATCCTCCGAGTCAACAGACTGAAATGGAACAAAGACAGACGAACATTTGACCTCACAATGTGATGACAGAATTCAAAGCAGCTTTTCTTAGGAACTCATCCATGGAGGTGAATGATCTTCATCCCTCCATACTGCAATATGAATCCTTCCAGTTACGAGGAACACAAGGGCCTTCTAGGAGGGAGATAAAAGCACCTCCTCCTATTATAAAGTTACATTATAATGTCCTCCATTATGGAGGACACTTGTGTTAAAGTGACACGAGGTTCTCTGCCATTCTCCATGTACACAAAAGTGTCTTCTGGTGGCTGTATTCCAAACTGTTATTCTGCTACTCTGTGCAGTGTCCTCGGTAGGGGCAATTCTGCACTAGCTGGGTGATGGACGAAATAATCCTTATAAGAACCCTTCCCATTTCTATTGTCTGATTTTAGGGGACACACACAAACCTGTGTCTCCTCCTCTGTTGGTGCTTCTGCTGCATTCTCAATTTCTGTCATATCGTCTTGGCTTGGAGGCACATGCCCATTTGCCTAGAAGAGGAAATAAATCTTTCACCAGCAGTGAATCTCCCTGCATATCCAGAGGGGAAATGAATGGGCTTGAACACACAGCATGCTCAATTTGAAACTTTAGTGTTGTTACATTTGGCCCTTTCAGGTCCCACCTTATTATATATTGAGCCCTGTTAGAATACTTGATGATGTACAATATACCCCCACATGATGTTCTCACGGGGCTTATGAGTCTGGACTGGGAGGAGACAGATGGTATAGAGACTCAAAATGGCGTTGCACAAAGCCACCTGATTATCATGATGTGAAGTCTTGACACTGCTCTACAATCCTTCATTGTGAGGTGGCATCCATGTGTGATGTCATGACAGCACAATCACTAGAATATGTCAAGAATTTGTGCTGTGTTGCTCATTGAGAGACCACTTGATGGCGCTCTTCAAGACTGCTCAGATCAGTTACTCAATGACCATAAGGGCACAGTGCTCTCTGCACGTCGTTGCTGGGTTTGGGGTATTGTGTTGGAGATGTTAAGTGAGGGATTAGTTGCCTCTCTCCTCCAGCTCCCACACCTCAAGCTGCTCTGGAGTTTATGGCTTCCCTAGAGCTGAGTGCTGTGTGGACAGGTAGGGGTGAGAAGCTGCAATGGGGACAGGACAATGGCATCTGTGGAGGGAGGGCAGGAGTTCTGAACACTGGACTGGGTGAAAGGAACGGAGCTTTAATCCCAGTTCATATCGATTCCCCATCTGTGGCTTTGGGCATGATATTTATCCTCTCCACCTCAGTTTGCCTTTTAGTAAAAATGGGGAGAATGTTCCCCTACTACTTAGGGGAGCTGTGATTAGTTAATATCTGTAAAACTCTAGGAAAATGAAAAGCATTTTAAGAGCTGATATTACTGAGAATTCCCACAAGGTGACCGGATGAAAACAGGAATCAAGCCAGGAGCTGAAATTTACTGGCGAAAACTTGGAACTCATAGGTGAACACATGTATTTCCAAATGTGAGCTAATGCGATGGCAGTAAAAAGCCCTTCTACCTCCACGCGGGAAAGATGTCCTCAAGAAGAACTGCATTTTTAAAGATACCATGCCTCATGATAGCTCATGAGAAACTAAGAGGTGCACTTTCTGAGCCGGCCCAGGGAGAATTAAGCCCACCAGGAAGGCCCAAAGTAGATGTTAAACATTAAGAATTTGTCTAAATAAACACTTAGTTCACAGGAAGCTGGGGTGTAAATCCACCTCGCACTAGTGCACTAAGTGTCTGCATGGACCCTACTGCCATGCACTCAAAGTTCCATAGTGCACACGTTGAAACAGGAGTAGATTAAAGCACAGTAGGGCACTTCTAGTGTGCAGCAGGCTAATTTGAGGTAGATTTACACCCCACCTTGCTGTGAACTTAGTGTTTGTATAGACAAACCCTAAGGAAACATTCCACAGCAGTCAGTAGAAAGCCTAACAACAAAGCAAGGCAATATAAATAATCAGATGACTGATTTCCTCTGAAAGAATTCAGCTGGACAGTTTCTGGCAGTCTCTGTGCCAGGGCTAATAACTTTTGGCCTCAGTCAAAGCATTTCTGCAGACCCAAATCAGTAGATGATCAGACTCCAGGAGCCCCCTCAGCCATCCTTTTCCCCCACTGTTACAACTCCAATATCACTTTGAAATTTTGGATGCCTTCTGGCACAAGAAATAAGGAAATACAGAATGAGGGTATAACATTTTAACAGCTGCTTGTAGTTATCAGTATGATATCAACATCCTGGCTAGAAAATGAAGTAAAATATGCTTTAGCATCAGTATAGATATTAAATAGCCATATGACTTATTAGTCACAGAGGTATCCAGTGCTGATGTAGGGGTGAAACACAAAGCAATGACCAGACTGCCTTAAAACAGTGACTGAAGTATCCAATATATCAAACCAGATCCAAAAATAAGGTTGAACGTCCAAAAAAAAATATTAAATTCCATTAATGCAGGAAGGACAAATGCCACAACTGACAAACAGCAACAATGAAACCCACAAGTTAGAATGAATTCCTTTAGTTTCTGAATTGTTCTACAGCAAAATGTCTGAGGTCCTTACTCAAACACTGCAGTCAATGGGTGTTTGCCTAAGCAAGGACCTCCGGATTTGACCCCCTGAACATAGCTTTGTTATGAACATGGGGACAGCTGTGCGTCATATGTAGCTGAAGCACTGTCATTTGTGGTAAATAGAAGCCCTGCATGCTCATGGCACTGATCTTTAATAAAGGAAGATATGTGCTGAATTTTGATGGGAAAAAAACAAGGAGCATCTCAATAATTAATCTGACAATGAGAGGGAATAAGTACACGAAAGGTGCTTCTAACTGGACACTGGTGTACCTGTTGATGTTCCTGAGTTATTGGACTCAAGATGGAGTCTGCAGACATTGGAGAGGCATCATGTGAGGTAGAAGATGCTGTGCTGGTCTGTGGCAGAATAACAAAGCTTTGCTGTCCAGATGTGCCAGAGTTTAATGGCGGGATTCGTATTCTATCCTCCTGGGTGATTACAGGCTGCTGCCCAAGAATCAGAAACACCAGGTCTTCCTTTTCACGGCACAACTCTGTGGAAACCTCGTGTAGTGCCAGATAGTCTCGTAGATCCTTCACTTTCATCTTTATCAACTCCTCCCGCTGAAAGGCTGTGGCTTGGAACCGCTGACAGAGATGGCAGACAAGGGGACTGCTTTCAGGCTGGCTTGAACAGGAAGTGCAAAAATTCTTTTTACAGTCAAAGCAGATGTGCTGCTCAAACAGAAGAGGGAGAGAAAAAAAGAAACCAAGCCACAAAGGTTTAGAGTGATTATAGAAGAACGGTATTGGGGTTAACACAACATGCAAGCTGGAGATAATATAAATTGAAGCCCATGTCCTAGATCAGTGGTTTTCAAATTGCGGGTTGTGACCCCGTACTGGGTTGCGGGATGTACGGCACTAGGTCCCGGCGGCTCTGGTCAGGACCCGGTTAAAAGTCCCGTCGGCGGTGCTGCCCAGCTAAGGCAGGCTAGTCCCTACCTGTTCCGACAGTGCACTATGCCCCGGAAGCAGCCAGCAGCAGGTCCGGCTCCTAGGTGGGGGGGCCATGGGGCTCCGCGCGCTGCCCCCGCCCCGAGCACCAGCTCCACACTCCCATTGGCCAGGAACTGGCCAATGGGAGCTGGGGGGGCAGTGCCTGCGGGCAACAGCTGCACGGAGCCGCTTGCGTGCCTCTGCCTAGGAGCCGGATCTGCTGCTGGCCGTTTCCGCAGCATGAGCGCAGCATGGTCCGTGGTGGCAGGACAGGCAGGAACCTGCCTTAGACCCCCACTGCGCCGCTGACTGGGAGCCGCCCGAGGTAAGCCCGCATCCCAATCCCCTGCCCCAGCCCTGAGCCTCCCCAAACCCCTCATCCCCAGCCCAGACCCCCTTCTGCACCCCTGCCCCAGCCCAGAGCCCCTCCCCGCACCCCAAACCCTTCATCCCCAGCTCCGTTGGGTCATGGGCATCAACAGTTTTCTTCAACTGGGTCACCAGAAAAAAAAATTTGAAAACCACTGTTCTAGATAAATCAAACCTTATTTATGAAAGATATGTCAAGCACACAAAGCATGCTGTTGACTGAAAGAAAATTAACAAACAGAAGCATTTCTGACATGTGGCTGGATTCAACACACAGGTCTTATAAAAGACATTAGATAAATTGTTACACAAATCACAAAAATGTTTTTAAACAATAATGAATTCCACCAACACTGCAACAGTTTTCAATGGTTTATATCTGCCCAGCTAAATCACAGATGGGATGCAACAGATCTATCTATCCTATAAGGTAACAGACCTTCCAAAGTAAATCAGATCAGTGTGCTGGTTTAAAAATTTAAACAGGTAGCATGCATAAATTATCTGCTGGGAGAGGCCTCTGCCACGAGGAAAACCAAGAACAAGTTTTACAACAATAGCCAGTTTTTCAAAATAATTCAGCTTCTATTTAGGCATCAAAATAAGTAGCCAGGTTTTCAAAGGAGCCCAGCACACTGACAACAAGGTAAGTGCTTAAGAACCTGGCCTTTAATGTCAGAATGACAACGGCTAGGTGCTCAGCATTTTGGAAAATCTGAGCTCTTCTGAGAGCTCGTCGGCTTCGGGCATCAAAACCAATTTCAATGTTTAAGTTCTATTGGTTCAAGCTAAGTTTTTCTACTACCCTCATCTCCCTGGGCACAGGGGCTTGATCTTCAGAGGTTCTGAACACTCGCAGCTCCTGCTGACAGCTGGAACTCTGTTGTTCAGCATTTCTGAAAGTCAGGTCAGAGCACTTACAATAGGATCATCATTAGGACAAAGAGTCGTGTGGCACCTTATAGACTAACAGACGTATTGGAGCATCAGCTTTCGTGGGTGAATACCCACTTCGTCAGACGCAGACGTCACATGCGTCTGACGAAGTGGGTATTCACCCACGAAAGCTGATGCTCCAATACGTCTGTTAGTCTGTAAGGTGCCACAGGACCCTTTGTCGCTTTTTACAGATCCAGACTAACACGGCTACCCCTCTGATACCTGACATCATTAGGACAGTCACTTGAGTCCTTCCTCTCTCCTGCCTTTTTTTTCTTTTAAATGTGTGGATGGATTCAGTGCTAGTAAAAGGTGCCAGGTCCACCGTATTTGGGACACTTCCCCTCTCTACAACATAGGTACAGCATACGCAGTAATGTACAAACTTTCAGTCCCCTCCTAAGTCTGGCAGTTTGCCTCAACCTCTCGAGTGACCACCTCTAGGGCGTGACTCAGCAAGCTGAGTCAGTACTTTGCCCTTCTCTTGAGGCTGCCAGTTATGAAGGAGATTTTTGTGTCGGGATCAATTATCCATTGGCAGCTGGACTGAGACCAAACTTTGGTGGCCTATGCGACAGATCAGCCAATAGCTCATTGTCTATCACTACAAACCTGAACTGGATTTGTATTCTATTACTAATCCCCCTGATTCCCACATCCATTTAGTCACTGGCTTTTTTCCTTTAGAATTCACCATAAATGTGCACTCCCGTCCAGACTCTTTAGAGTTATGCAATAAGTAAAGCTAAGATTTTGTCACATCACAGACAGGTCACAGGCAATAAAGAAAAATTCATGGAGGCCGTTACCTGTCTGTGACTTTTACTAAAACTATCTGTGACAAAATGGGGATCTGCGGGTTCCCATATAGCTTGCAGCGGGGAAGCTGTACGTGTGGCTAGGCGCTCCAGGGTCCCCCACCGCAGGTTGGATATCGGCGCTCCAGGGGCCCCCATTACCAACAGCTCCAAGGGCTCACAGCGGCCAGGAGTTGCAGGTTGCCCCCGCCGCCCACAGCTCCAGGGGCGCCCGCCGTGGCCGGGGGCTTGAGGCTTCCCCCGCTGCCTGCGGCGGCCAGGAGCTGCAGGGTTCCTCGCTGCCCACGGGGTCAGGAGCTGTGGGGTTCCCTTACCACTTGCGGCGGCTTGGAGCTCCAGGGGCCCTGCCACTTACCCCGCAGCTCCCTGCCCCTCACGGGCAATGCAGGACCCCGCAGCTCCCACGTGCCGCAGGCTGAAATCATGGAGGTCACTGGAAGCCACGGATTCCGGGACTTCAACGCCCTCTGTGACTAAATCGTAGCCTTAGCAATAAGGAATCGGAACTTGGACTTGAAAGCAAGAGACAGAAACTCTTGAACCAAAGACAAAACTCTTTTTTGTTTTATGAATTACTTATGGTGAATGAGAAAATCTTCAACTCCATTGTGCGTAAAGTTCAAAGAAAGCAGATTTATAAATTCACGCTTCTGAGTCAGCTGTTCCAGAACAGGAATTCAGGGTGTGGTTTTTGAGCTTGATCTGTGCAGGTGAATGAGCCCTTGATGGTGTGGCTGATGTGGTTGGGACCCCACCATCAAGGGCTCATTCACCTGCACATCCACTAATGTTATATATGCCATCATGTGCCAGCAATGCCCCTCTGCCATGTACATTGGCCAAACCAGACAGTCTCTCCGCAAAAGAATAAATGGACACAAATCGGACATCAGGAATGGTAACATACGTAAGCCAGTAAGTGAACACTTCAATCTCCCTGGTCCTTCTATTACAGATTTAAAAGTCACTATCATTGAACAAAAAAACTTCAGAAACAGACTTCAAAGAGAAACAGCAGAACTAAAATTCATTTGCAAATTTAACACCATTAATCTGGGCTTGAATAGGGACTGGGAGTGGCTGGCTCATTACAGAAGCAGCTTTCCCTCTCCTGGAATTGACACCTCCTCATCTATTATTGGGAGTGGACTACATCCACCCTGATTGAATTGGCCCTGTCAACACTGGTTCTCCACTTGCGAAGTAACTCCCTACTCTCCATGTGTCAGTATATAATGCCTGCATCTGTACCTTTCACTCTATGCATCTGAAGAAGTGAGGTTTTTACCCACGAAAGCTTATGCCCAAATAAATCTGTTAGTCTTTAAAGTGCCACCAGACTCCTTGTTGTTTTTGTAGTATCAGGCTGCCCCCTGATACTTGACTGCTCATCACAGGGGCATCTGGATACATTACACAAATATTAATGGAGAACGTCTATTCTGGCCAATACTTTCCCTCTTCCAGTTAGCCATCAGAGAAGATGAGAGGGGAGATACAATGCTTTAGTTTAGAAGCATCTGGTAGTCATATCTGAAAAGATGAGTTTTTCACCATACTCTAAAACCTGGCAGACTGGCTCTGAAGGAACACTAGAGGGACCTCATTCCACAGCTGAGGGCCCTTCGCCTAGAATGTCCCTGCATTTAACACTCCAGAGGTGTTCAGATACCACAGTGGCATAGTACAGGAGATACATCATCTAATTGATCTCAGCAAGGGATCAGCAGCAATAACACCATCCCAGTTCAGAGCAACTGAACTTGTATTCCTCAAGCACACCTGCTCTGGGCTCTCAGTTCCTCAGTCATCACCTCTCTTGAGAGATGAGTGTCCACTCTCCCTCCCACCCAGGGTTTTCAGGACTGCACAGTTACCTACCTACACTGAGTTCCCCAGCAAATCAGACTGCCTGCAACAGGCCAGTGTGCTTTGCTTTCTCTCTGAAGGCTATGAACAGCTGTAATTGCCAACAGTTACAAGTTATCACACAGCTCTTTCTAAGCAAGTGTGTTTATTTTTAAGATGAAAGCATTAGAGAAAATATATTGAAAACAACAAAATAACCTATACGCATCCTAAAAAGCTTAGCAGAGATCAGCCCTCAACTCCAACAAGGTCTCTGGTAGGAGTCAGTCCTTCACACCCCACAAAGGGTTTAATCCTGTGGTTACAAGTTCATAATAGCCTTAGCTCAGAACCAGAACAACCAGTCTTTCCTTTATACAGCTTGTGCCTTTGATCTCGGCCTCATGTAACAGATAATCAGCGGACAAAGGCCCACGCCTCAGGGAGTAGCTTCAAAAGGCGGTGTTTTTGCATAACTGGAAGTGGAGAATTTGCATTCACCTCTCTGTAGATACTTCCCATTTATTGTCCCAAAAGTCCATTCTTGTCTGACATATATTGTTTAATATAGTTCTTTGATCATCCAGGCCTTCCATCACATCTCCCTAGAGAAGTGACATATAGTCCCAGCCCAGAATAATACATAACCTTTGCATTTAATACAATGGACTCCAAATATACTTAAATGTAATTCTAGATTTTTTTCCAAGGATATTGCAGGGAATTGCCATATCTGTCACAAATGCCTCCGCTAATTTTTTTTATATTTTAATCAAAACACTGCCTAGAACTTAATCTTTGACAGCACGCTGTAAATTGTGAAAGGTTCAGTTTGCAATAACGACTAGGGTTCCCGAAATTATAGAACTTCTGTTCAATTCACTTGGCTCATCATTTTGTTTGAGATAAAGGTGAGTCAATGCCAACATTCAAGCTTTAACTAGAGCTCTTGTTTTATATCTTACACCTGAGCTTGCCAGGAGCTTTTTTCTGTAAGTATGCTTCAGAGAAAATGGTCTTCCTGAAAATGTCAGCCAATGTCTGAGACACGTAAATCTTTGTTAGGGGGCGGAAGAGGAGGAGGCAAGGAGAACTTGACCTTGTCCAAAAAAAAAATGCCTGGCATACCTTGCTAACAAGCAGGGAAAAAATCAGCAACGCCTGACTTAAATTAATGATCATCCTGTGAAAACAGGAAGCCAGGATCAGAAGTTAGCTTGGAGAATAGGGAAAACAAGATTGTTTTCACTACCAAGAACAATTTAATGTCCTTTAAAGATGCTTCAATGATTATATAAAGGCATCTTATTAGATCCAAAGAAAATTTCCATATTTACCTTATTGCAAACGTCTTCACTGTTCTCTGCCCTGATCCTTTTAACAACTATCTGAGTTTTCCAATGTATTAGGACTGATAATTATATATATATAGAGAGAGAGACAGAGAGAGACAGAGAGTGTAAGGGGTTGAATGCCCTGAAAAAATCTATTTCTTGAGAGGTCAACGTTCTGTTGAATCTCACTTTTAACAAACTCATTTATCTGTATGGCCTCCCATTTGAAAGGGCTTCGCTTTCATATGCATGATGTTTTATATACAAGTGGCTTGATTTAACTATGAACTGGGTAACTGCTTCAGCCATCCTAGGATAGGATACAGAGTTTTCTATGATCCTGCTGCAGCGGAAACAGATTCTAACATGTCCTTTAATTGGTTTGAGCATTGGCCTGCTAAACCCAGGGTTGCGAGTTCAATCCTTGAGGGGGCCATTTAGGAATCAGGGGCAAAAAAATAAAAATAAATAAACCTGTCAGGGACAGTACTTGGTCCTGCTAGTGAAGGCAAGGGACTGGACTCGATGATCTTTCAAGGTCCCTTCCAGTTCTATGAGATAGGTATATCTCCATATTTCCCTGATGGTGGCCTAAAGTGGTATCACCTTAGACTGTATAACATTAATGACATGTTGGTAAACAAACGAGTAAAATATAATCTTCACAACACTACATACACTTGCTGGTTTTATTTAGAAGCACAAATCTGAGTAAATTATGGAGCAAGTGGGTAGACCGAAGTCTTGCTGTAGAGAATAAGTAACTCAAGAAGTGTGACTCAATGAACAATTCTACTTTCAGTGAACTTGACACCAACCCTATGGGATGCTATTGATAACTCAAGTAGTAGGTCATCACTTTCAGGGTGGATTCTATTAAAATACACATTTAAAAAAATCAGGGTTCCATTGTTTGTGTATTAGATTTTTGCAAAGAGATAAAGTCTTTGTTATTACCAATAATGTACCACCCTTGGGACGATGGCTGCCTCTCTCTCATTCATATCTTTCACTGTACTGACAAAAATCATCTATTCCTCACCTTTTATTTCCTGTTGTGGAAAAAGAGTCGAAGTTTGATTCTGAATAATTCTTTTGTCATGTATTCTGTAGAGAGAAATACTCTCTTACTAGGGACAATATTTAGAGGATGCCTAGTGCAGTGGTATATACTACAATACACAGATAAACTGCCTACTTTCAGAACAGAGTTCTGAGTACACATGTGCCTGAACCCTGCTTACGAAAAAAATTATTTCCAAAATTTTAATCCTTAGACTAGTTTCTTAAGCAATGCAAGATTCTCACAATATAACACAAGACATATCCATGTTGTCTCTACGGGCAGACAGGTAAAACAGCTTTATCAAGAGTTATCTTCTCCCAGCCACATGTGAGCATCCAAACGTGGCTAAAAATGCAAAGTCCAATTCGATGAATTTCCCAGTCCAAAATTTCCAATGCTTGAAAAAGGGGTAGAGCCAAAACGAATGTGACTCCTTAGCAGGTGCCGAGTTGATTGTAGGTTTTATAGCTCTTTTTGAGGACTATGTCATGAAGCAGTACCTTAAAATAGAGCTTTTTAAAAGTTTAATTTATCCAGGTCAAATGCCTCCATTCTTTATTCATCACCCTAATTCTGAGAACATGGTACAGATCAGATACTGGCTGAGTCATGGAGTGTGGATTCTAACCAGCTCCTAAAGACTTTCAGGAAGCACTCTGGGAACTTCCCCGTTTAAATCATTTCCCTGGCCAGAGGCTGCTGATTAATTTTGAATCTTGTGACACTAATAGTTTTGGCAGCTACAATGCACAAGGATCTAGTACACAAACCGGGATAACAAAACAAAACCAAAAAAAAGATTGTCACAAAAAGAAGCGCAGCAATTCAGGGATGAATGCTAAACTGGCAATTCACTCCCTACAAACAGTGATGGCTTTTTAGCTGAAGACTAATGTTTTAAAGAGTTGGCTCTTTTTCCATTGTAAGCATGATGGATTTTGCTTATTGCCATATCTGCTTCTTAAAGGGACACACACCTTCAAACCTAGTCAATTTGAAAATAATGAGTTATGATGATTTCACGTACTACGCCTGCCTAATTGTTGTGGTTTTGCAATGACATTTTCCTGTTTTTAAAATGTTTTCTTCTCCCCCATTACTGTGTAAAGACCCACAAGAAGACCAGGAAAAACAGACAATAACATGAATTACTGTCAAATGCACAAAGTAAACAATCTACAAATGAACTCAGTAATCCTAGGTGGTAATTGCAATAACAGTAGGCAAAACATTTTTAAGCTGGTATCCCTTTAACTGATTATAAGTAGCTTGCTGTCCTTTATTAAAGCATCTAGTACAGACAAGTCCACTGTGCGTTAACAACAATAACTGTTGGTTATTTTCATTTGTGCCAGCTAATTGTGAAAGTGACTAAGAAATAAAGAAGCAAGGCAAGTGGTCTTCTGCTCTACATCCCTAAATCAAGGACCTCCTTTGATTGTGTGTTTTGCAGGCTCTTGAAACTGACTCTGTAAATACACAATCTGACTCCCAGATCATTTATGTAAGTCAAACCAAATGGGTGCCCAAATCAGAGGCTAAATTCACCCCTTACCTTCCTGGAGGAATTTTCAAAGTGCACCCCACACGCCTTGCAGTTCTGTTCAGAACCTGTAGGAGAAGGGTAGGAGCTGTAACCTGGGTTGGCATACGCCTGGGGTCTGGCACCCTGCTGCGGCCGCTGCTGCATCTCCTCAGGTTGTCCATCCAGACAAAACCAGTTACAACAGGTTGCCCACATAGTAACTAAAAGGGTGAGGGGGGAAAAAAAAAAAAACACAAGTTAAATAACATCCTGGAAGCCACATATTTCCTACCAAAGTGAGGGCCAGGCATGAACTGAATGTTTATGCTTCTTCACTAAGCTACTTGACAGCAAGTAGCAGGGGGACTGGATCTTTTCTCTTACCAACTGCAAGCGTATGCCAAAAACGTACATATCTGCCACACACAACGTGCTCTAAACCCTTAACGAAAATGCACGGGCAGAGTTTCAGAATGGACTTTACTGACATTTATCGGAGACTTTCATTGGGGTAGGAGGAAGACTACGTTTAAATTCCACTCTGTCGTGCATGGGCATTGTTCAGAGCTCTATGATCACAACACAGTCATTTGTACTACATTATGTAGCTACAACAGAGTGAGGCAGTTTTTAGTTACTTTGCAGCAGGGAGTAAGGAAAAGTTTAGAGGCACTGGTGAATTTCTCCCTCAGAAAGACATTAGAGACTCTTGTTCTCTCTCACATGGTGCTTATGTAAGCTCAACAGCGAGACCCTAGCTGGTTTTCCTCTACAACCTGGCTCCACATATAAAGCTACTGCTGCAGGCCTGTAAATAGACAAGAACAGGCAGTGCCAGTGCTCCTTTAACACAGCTGGACTCAGCTGAAATGTTGTCAGCTACCATAATTTGCCTCCCGCACTCAGTAAGCTTCCAGACAATGAATCAGTGTTAACCTCTGGTAACTTGTTTAGAAAAACAGTTGAATACAGAAGAGCTAAATGGTAAGAAATGATGAATGTCTCTACATATCTATTTGCTTGGGCCCCGGGTGGTAAGAGATGTACCCCTACCTAAACTCCTTGAGGAAACAGTGTGTGTGTTGGGGGAGAGCAAAGAGAGGAGGGGGAATGCTTCCTCTCAGTATTTGTGGAGCAAAACCACTTCTGCAATAACATTCCCAAAATGTGGTGGTGCTTTATAACATACTTATTTGTAATTTACTAAGCACACAGGCCTGAAAACATTCCTCTGGGCACTCAGAACATGTGCTACCGTGTCATCAGTCACTAGCATAAGGAATACACACTGCTTCCCACCCTGTATTTGTTGCATTCATGTTATTGTTAACAGATACTATTAAGCTTCTTTTAAATCTTTCCGTCTATTCTGTCCAGAAGCGGCAGAACCGGGAAAGCGGGGGGCTAGCACCCCCACAGTGGAAATATTGGGGGGCTGAGGTATACTTCTGCCCCAATATCTGGTGGAGGCAAGAGCGGAAGCTGGAGGAGAGACCAGAGCAAACTAGGCCAGCCGCCAGGGAGCAGGTAGGATTGCTCTCCTCTCCTCGCCTTCCAGCCACCACAGGTCCTTGCACAGGCACCTGGCCTGGGGGAGGGACAGGAGCACACGTGCCAGCCACTGGGATTGGGGACAAGGAGGCATCGCTGTGCCAGCTGCCAACGGAAAGAGGGAACACATGGCACTGGGCACTGAGGAATGGCAGTAGGAACTGCTAGGACACCCGCTTCCCAGCTGCCCCCCGCCAACTCTCAGTAGCTCCCCTCACTGCCCCTCCACACCCCCGATTCACAGCAAGCTTCCACCCCTCAAATCTCCCAGATTCGGTCAGTGTCGGTATGCACCAGCTCAGTCCACGTTTCTCGATTTTCCAAACCTCTGGAGTCAACCTTTGTTCTTAGCTAGGCTGTTCGTGCATGTTCACTACATAACATTTTATGACATGATTAAACCATACTTTGAAAATCTGTGAATCAGTACAAGCTCTGAGGAGTGTTTGGCATGAGGTGCTAACATACAGTATTTGAATGTTTCACACAATCAACCCTTTGGGGCAGATGTGCTTAAACAAGGAGGCTTTTGCAGTTTGGTGCAGTTCCAATAATCTGCAGATTTACTGGACTCTTTAATCCTTTCAAAGTCTAGGTGAATTTGGTCTATCAAAGTTAGCACTGTCGCTAGAGTGGACACATGCCTGAGCAGGACAATGGTAAGCTTGCAGGTTCAGCAAATTTTTATATTCAAATAGAAAACAAGAGTCTTGATGACACAGGAGAAACAGTTCATACAGTGTGTCATGCTGTGAATTATACACTTAGAGCAGCAATTAGACTTCTCACCTTGGATGGAAAAACAAATGTATGGTATTTTTAAATTTTCAGGTGAACTGAATTAGTCTATTATGCTTATGTCTACATACGTCACCGCGTGCTGAAAGCCTGTTCTTTGTAACTTCCACAGAAATAATCTATTTGTGTAGGTGCATGGACTTTACTTCTACACCATTGGAAGCTGTTCTGAAGTATGCTGAGGAGGCTAGTCTGCTTTATTTCTGACCAGATATTTTTAAATAGGAAAGTACAATGGGGAAACGGAGGGTGGGGGCAGTATATCCCGTATAGCAAATATTTGGGGATAACAACCATACTGAAAAATAACCTGGTCATTTAGGCTAATAAAGAATATAGACTGGTTTACAGCTCAATGTGTAAAACCTGGAGCCAGAAGGTTTTAACCTTAAACAGTTTTTATGTCAAATTATAAACAAGTTTAATGACCAACAAAAAACAGGACAAATTGTGATTGACATGGTGTAAGGTCTGAGGTCCCAGTATGTTAGTGGAGGAGCTGTAGTTAGCCCAGCATTCTGTATTATGTGTTCATGGTACTCATTCCAAAATAAGAAAACACACCTCGTGTTCAAGGAATACAGTCTAACAGAAGCATTCCATGGTACAAAGTCATAATATAGAAAGTATTTAGCTTCATCATGTGTATTAGCCTTAAATTGAAACCACAGTGGTAATGGCTATAAATGCACAGACTATAAATAAAATACAAATCATCAGAACTTACCTATGCTTTTTTGTGAACTCTAATTTCAGAGCATTACATTTCTGTTAGAAGTTATGTATTTTGGAAATTCAACATTTTTGCAATTTTGCTATTTTAAGGAATGACTAAACTATTTTGAGAGTCTTAATTTTATCCTAAGGTTACAGACCCAAGATATGAACCTTGTGAACACTGCAAGAAGCATTTATAACCTCCACGAGAGATTAAAACTACATCCACATTAAGGCCCTAAGGACTCCTGTGAACTGGAGACCACCCACATTAGCAGCATATAAAAATGTCAATGGTTTGTCCTGATTATTTTTCTTAAAAAGATAGGCCAACTCACCCAAACTTTGCACCAGTTCAGATATTGCAAAGAAGGAATGAGCAAACCAGAAGAAACAAGGACTGAGCTTAGTGTTATTAAGCCTACGTTTTGTTTTAGAGTTATCAGAAGGATGACAATAAGACTCAGATATAGTTTCAGAAGATCCTTAAACCTGCTTAGCTGATAAAGGCTTGGTCTACACTAAACCCCCAAATCGAACTAAGGTACGCAACCTCAGCTACGTGAATAACGTAGCTGAAGTTCGAAGTACCTTAGTTCGAACTTACCTCGGTCCACACGCGGCAGGCAGGCTCCCCCGTCGACTCCGCGGTACTCCTCTCGTCTAGCTGGAGTACCGCAGTCGACGGCGAGCACTTCCTGGTTCGACTTATCGCCTCCAGACAAGACGCGATAAGTCGAACCCAGAACTTCGATTGCCAGCCGCCGAACTAGCGGCTGGGTGTAGACATACCCAAAGTCTGAAAGAATAGCTTTTATATATGAAAAAGTTAACAGTTACTGTAGTTCATTGAACTGTAAGAGTCTCAAGAAGCTGCTTCCCAGGTTTAAGAGAAATGAGTAAGCGTACTGCAGAACAAATGACAGCCATTAATATAACACCACAAATAGTGATCATTGGTTATGGATTTCGACAGTAGGATTATAAGAAAGCACAACAAAAGTTTGATTTTGCTGCTAATTTACCACAAGAAATAGAATTTGCTGCAATTAGGGAGATGCACAAATACCCTAGTAGCAGCAAGCCAAGGGTATGATAAGCAGCAAGAAAAATTCTCGTGTTTTAAAGAAACAGACAGGCTGCCCTCAAAGAAGGCAGGTCGGGGAGGGAAGAGATTTCTCTTTCCTGCAAAGTATCAGGGGGTAGCCATGTTAGTCTGTATCCGCAAAAACAACGAGGAGTCCGGTGGCACCTTAAAGACTAACAGATTTATTTGGGCATAAGCTTTCGTGGGTAAAAAAACACTTCTTCAGATGCATGGACCCTGGGAGGCAGGCCAGTCCTCGCTTACAGACAGCCCCCCAACCTGAAGCAAATACTCACCGGCAACTACACACCACACCCCAGAAACACTAACCCAGGAACCAATCTCTGTAACAAACCCCATTGCCTACTCTGTCCCCATAGCTACTCTAGCGACACCATCAGAGGACCCAACCACATCAGCCACACCATCAAGGGCTCATTTACCTGCACGTCTATCAATGTGTTATATACCATGTGCCAGCAATGCCCCTCTGCCATGTACATTGGCCAAACCGGACAGTCTCTATGTAAAAGAATAAATGGACACAAATCAGACATCAGGAATGGTAACATACAAAAGCCAGTAGGAGAACACTTCAATCTCCCTGGACATTCTATAACAGATTTAAAAGTAGCCATCCTTCAACAAAAAAACTTCAAAAACAGACTTCAAAGAGAAACTGCAGAGCTACAATTCATTTGCAAACTTAACACCATTAATTTGGGCTTGAATAGGGACTGGCTGGCTCACTACAAAAGCAATTTTCTCTCTCTTGGTATTGACACCTCCTCATCAATTATTGGGAGTGGTCCACATCCACCCTGACTGAATTGGCCTTGCCAACACTGGTTCTCCACTTGTAAGGTAACTCCCTTCTCTTCATGTGCCAGTATATTTATGCTTTTATCTAATTTTCACTCCATGCATCTGAAGAAGTGGTTTTTTTTACCCACAAAAGCTTATGCCCAAATAAATCGGTTAGTCTTTAAGGTGTCACCGGACTCCTCATTGCTTTCCTGCATAGGACATCAGAGGAGAAAACTATTAGCAAAAATGCAGTATTTGAAA